GCCCGCCAGTACGAAGCCTGCCACCACAAAGCCCGCTCCTGAGATGGCTGTCTCAACGTTGGGGAGCGGGGATGCAACCCGGAGTGTGCTGAACCCCAAGAATAGCCTCTGGAAGAGCAAGGGGGCCACCTATGCTGAAGAGGTCTCCGAATGGGCCGATCACGCCTGCTTAGCTCGGAGCTCAGGCAGCTACCCACTCCATGGTGGTGAGTCTCTTTACTTAAAAACTTTTGCGATTCGTCGCCTTACCAGTGCTAACTGACATTCCTTTGGCAGGTGATCTCCGCCGTCCATGCCCTCACTCTCCAATCCGACAAGAACTTGAAGCGAGCTCTAGCTGTTGAAGATTCTACTCACGAGGCTCATGCCGATCTGAAGCTAGCTCGCGGTCAGATCCATCGTCTAGAGAGCGATACCATCGCTCAGAAGAATTATATTCAAGTGTTAATGTCGGAGAAGGAGGAGTTGCAGTGCAAAGAGGAGAAGCTACAATGCAAGAACGAGGAGTTCCTTTGTGAGAAGGATCAACTGCTGCTCAAAGTGAAGGAGCTCGAGTCGGGCAAGGTGATCCTGGAGCGCAAGGTGGAGAACTTGAAGACCGACATCAAGGAGAGGACTGAAATCCTTGTCGGTGCCTTAGACGAGGCTAAGGCAAAGGTTGTTCAGGATTACGTCCAGTCCGAGGGGTTCGATGTAGTGGTGATGGAGGCCTACCGAAAAGGCTTCAAACTTAGTCGGTGGTTGATCAAGCGCGAGTTCCCGCAACTTGACGTGAGCGCGATCACCACCTCATAGATTACGAGGGAAGTAGCCCAGCTAGCTACTGAGGACCCGGACTCCGATCTAGAGAGTGACGACGAGGCTACCACCACCGATCAAGTCGGTACTTTGGAGGCTCCGAGCAAGGAGAATGCTCCCCTTTAGTTTGTACTCTGAGCCTTGTGAGCTCAATTTCTTTCTTTTTTTTTTTTCGTGAACTTGTAATGAAACTTTGTAATGAACTTCTG